GAGGTTGCAGCAAATGGGCAAGAATGTTCAGGTGTCATCCAACCTCTCTCAGGAAGGAAGAAGGTGTTCCTGTCCCTGGTTTTCTGCCAGCTTCTCTGCAGGAGAGATGGGCCTGGATGGGGACTTGAAGATGGTCGCATGGGTCTACAGGACTCCTGGCCACTATCAGGTATAATCTACTACTGTGGAAGGCCACTGCAAAGGCTTCAGGGAATCTGCCTTGTCATAAATTACTTGGTCTGAACCCACTTTGCTGCATTTCAGAGCACTAAGGCACTGCCATCCCATGGGTTACCCACACAGTATGGGCTAATGTACATTCATATTCATCGTGGGAATGAATATCCAGCCAGCCAGAGAGACAGATGCACGCATGCACACACACACGCTCACAATATGCAATGAATGTGGCCAATACCCCAAGCTTGGCCTTCTGGGCCTTACATGGTGTACAGGGTGGCCAGGTGCAGCTCCAGTGAGCAGTTCCTACCTGCCAAGCCCATCTGCTATGAATGGCAGCCAAGAAGTCACAAATTATAACCCCACAGGACTCCTAAAGAGTGCCAATGGTCTTAGGAAGAAAAGGGGTGAAGGAAAGGAACAACGCCTTGCTTTGCACTGGGAAAATATGGGGACCAGAATTGGCTAAGACTTCTGGGTGGCATCAAAGAATTTTTGGGAAACACAAAAAGTCATGAAACAAATATTGGAAGCATGAAATTAACCAGGATCAGAAACTTGTCTTCGGGATCCGCTGAAGGCATTTTCCAAAGACAATGGAAAGATAGTAAATAATAGCCAATCGATAACTAATTTCAACCATGCTGTACTGATCTGTAAGTAATCTTTATGATCGTGCAGAGTAACTTTCAGGAGCAACTTGGGAGTCCCAGCTCATGGCAGCCTAATCAGCTTAGGAGAGTACATAGTCATTCAGCCCATAGTCATCATGGCTGGAAAACCAAACCCTATGTGACCTCGTGAGGTCTGTCACTTGGAGGGAAACTCAGAGGGTCCCAGAGATGCCACTACATTTTCTTCCACTCTCCCTGCCCCTTGAAAATTCTCCCTGTCAAAGAAGATAAAAATCTACCTAGCAAAACAAGCATGAAGGCAGAATGAATTAGGAAGGGGATGTCAAAGACAGAACTTATTTTCCAAAGCAACAGTGTCTGGCATCTCCACAGGCTGTACACATTCGGTTCACTCCAAAGGTAATTCATGCTCCACAGAAGAGTATCCAGTGTTGTGGTAATGGGAGACAAGAGCAGCCAGACCTTAACTAACAGCCTATTTTAACACCTGGGAACAAAAATAAAACTTGTACACAGTTATGGAAATTTACAAAGGGAAGGATAAGGACCCCTTCCCTTTTCCCCAGGTCAACAAATGCAAGAGATAGCAAACACTCAACACCAAAGAAAGACGCTCTCAGCACTTCCCCTTGCATGGCTTATAAATTCAGCTATTTCCTTAAAAACAACAGCAACAATAAACTAATGTCAGTAGGCATCCATTCTACTGGGCATGCATATTTATGTTATATACAGTTAACACCTATTTGAATTAGGTACGATGGTATGATTAATTGTTTATTCTATGCACAGCAAAGCAACCAATTGAATCGAATATTAGTCATTCATCAGATAAAACATTTTCAGAGAAACAACTGCTATATTTCCCCCTCAAAGAACAGCAAGCATTTTAAACACACTTTCCTGGAGACTTACGCTGAGGAAAACAGCTTAGAAATGTTACTTTAAACAAATCCCTTCTCTGGCTACCAACAAGAAGACGAATACTGGAACAAATGCTTGGCTCTAGTTTTTCCAAGCCTCCTTCTGTCCACCTGTCAAAGGCAGTTGTGACCCCGCCACTCTAAGAGGCGGCCTCTGGAGCTGTGAAATGTGCCACACTGTGCGGATGCCCTCCGCACTGTATGCCAGCACCCTCATTAGGGATTATCCAACTCGATTGCAGCAGGGAGAGAGGAGATGGGCTCGCTGCCAAGTGTTCTTTCAACACAGATTCCGAAAGAAGATCCTGCAAAGTGCCGAAAGCCCAGATTTTCAGCAGTTCACTTTCTAGATTCTGTTACATAGCAACCATGCGAGCTCACCAAGGGTACCAAGCAAGTTAATATTTTGTTTAAATGACATGCCGCATTAACCCTCTAGGAAAACCCAAGTTTGCTTTACCAAAAGGCAACACCAGTTGTTACGCTGGAACAAAACATTCAACAGTGGATGGATGAGTTTGCTTAATTCATTTTAAAAAGAATTTTTTGAAACAACAACAAAAAAATTTGAAAGTGGATCTAACAATCCCCTGATAGGGAGGGAAAGGTGACTCTTTCCCATAACCATTTGTGCTAATATTATTAAAGGTACATTAGCATGCATTTAATATGTGCATAATGCCCTTTAGTTAAAAGATGAGTTATACAGTTGCATTTTGAAAGATACTCATTTCACTCAAAATCTTGATTCAAAAAGTGATAACTCAATAGTGCTAAATACTCTTAAGGTCTGGGCTCAATGAATGGAATGAACTTAGACAAAAAGGAAACACAAGACTAATTCTAATTCTGAAGAGCAGTCAGAGGCCCAGAGAGCTGAGCTTCTGGGAGCCTCCCTGGAGTTATATTAGGAGAAGCCTGAGGAAGGCAATCAAGCAGACTTTTAAAATCAACTTGTAAGAACTCCCCTCTTTCCTTTAGGAAAATAAATGCCACAGCAAAAGCAACTACCAGGTCAACTAGGCTGAGGTTTTCTGTTCTAGCAGAATGCTGCCAGAAGCCATTTGAAAAAAACAAACAAAACTAAAACAAAACCTTAAACCTTGCAAGAGGCTAAATAAGTAAAACATACTGGACTGAGGTCCTGGTGCTACAAATAAGTAGATGATCCCCCCCCCCCAACTTATATGGAGGGGCTTGTTTTCAACTATCACATCAGTATAAATACATATCAATTTAAGTGGATTTGTGGCCAACAATGAAGTTGAGCTAAAGCCTTTACTATCATATTTTCTGATTATAAAATCACTAAGTGCCCTAGTAAAGGTTTTGAGAAATACCAATGGCAGACAGGAACAAGCAAGGCCTTCCTTCCTCCTCCTGCCCACTGGCAGCCCCTGATGTGGGCAGGTGTGCTCCTAAGGGCAGAGGGAAGCTGCTAGGTTTGTGTGTTTTTAAAGATACCAAGAGATCCCAAAAGCCATTTCCATTTCCACAATCTTGCGTGTGCCTACAGGAAAAAGATAAAAGGAAATAGCCCCCTGTTGCTCCACTACAATAATTTAACCAGCAGCTAGTATCTCAGTTTCCAGGTAGAGTGTACAGATTAGCCCAGGACTGACTTCCCTGGAATGCCCAGCGTGTAGCTAAACCCAGCCCTTGGATAAAAAGCCACTTAATTTCTCTGGGCCAAGAAAAGGGCAGATGGAGGGAAATAAACCAGCATTGTCCAGTGTCTCTTACTATGGCTTTCGATTCTTAGCAAAATGTCAGTTCTTACCAATTTCTTTAATGTTAGAAGAGTCACTGCTTATAAAAAGTGAAGTGTTATCTGGCAGGCAGCCTTTCCCTTTTTTCCCCCGGGTTCCAGCGGAGAATGTACTTTCATACACAATGACATAAAAAGGGATAAATGACAAGAATAATCAGATGCCAGCCAGGTACAGTGAACACCAGGACCACAAGATCTCCCCACATTACGTCATGGCTACTTCACCACCAAATAACTTCCCGATCCTTGAGACTTGTAACAGGATCCTGAAGTGCCAAGTTAAGACCAGACTTGGAATTCCATCCCAAAGGGCTAATGTTCAGGCTTCCCACCTCACATCACAAAAACATACCTCCCCAGGAAGGTACGCTGGAAACAGAGGGAGAGAAAACAGACTCTCTGTACTGAGGAAGCTGTTGAAATAACAGAACCAGATAATCATTCTGAGCCACTGAGCAATTGGTACCTTGTACTTCGTCCAGTGACATATGTATACAAGTGGCTCTTGTGGACTGGCGAGTTTTTTTCCTCCTTGTCCTGTTCTGGATTTCAGCAGTTTAGTTTACAATTCAAATAATATTAATAGCCAGTGATACTGTTTCTCAAAAGGCAATTAGAGGGAATAATTTGTAAAAAACCGCTTCCTCTTTCACTCTCCGAATCACAGAAACCCAAAGGGACACTTTAAGGATGCCTCATCCACCTTTAACCCCTGCTAGGGTTCAGAGCCTCCACTTGTTCTATGTCAACACAGAGCAGCTGTCTCCCCGCCCCACCCCCAAACTGCAGAGTTGCTTCAAACCTAGCTCCTCCAGGGCTCCCGGCAATCTACCATCCTCACGGCCACCGTTTCTCAGGGAGCCCATCTCTCAGTCTCTGAGGTCTGTATTTCCCCCGGGAAGAGCTCCCAGGGCCACAGCTGGGTGAATGTAAACTCCCTGCAGAGCCAGCGTTTACTGCTCGCCCCTGTATCTCACTGCCTGCGCGATCTCAAACGGAGAGAAAATAAAGTCCAGATGCAGGAGAAAAGGGATCTGGTGTCGGTGGGGAAAAGTGCACACGGAGCCAGTCGCCTACCTCTAGCACAGCAGCGCAGCCCCGGGCTGGGAATCATTCCAGAGGCGCGAGCCTTGGGAGCAGTGGCATTCAGCCCTCCCGGGGGTGGGGGCACGAAAAGTTTGCCACAGAGCCGGGCTGTGTGCCACCCAAAGGGCACTTTCCGCTGCCCTGCCGGAAGGGTCCCGCCGGCTGCGCCTCGCTCATGCTGGCCGGGCCGGTGTGACCCTCCGACCCTGTGCGCACTGCGCCCGGGTTTTCGTTCACGACAGCAGCCAGGAGCGGCAGCGGCCACCGCCGTGTGGAAAGGGTTACAAGCCATAATGCAAAGCGATCTCGCCCGGGCTTGGGGCGCCGGGTCCCCAGGTCGGCCGGCCGCCCCCGACCGGCGTGCTCGCTCGCCATGCCTCCGCCCCAGGCGCCGGCGATCCCTACCTTGCGCGCTGGGCTGCTGCTGGTTCTCCATGTTCTCCGCCGCCGCCGCCACCGAGGCGCTGGCCGCGGCTCCCGGGGCCGGGCCGGGGCCGCCGCCGCTCAGTTCCACCAGTCTCCGGTTGGTGGCCGTGAGTTCGGCTCGCAGGTTGGTCACCTCCTGGCTGGCCGACTGGACCGCCCCATCGATGCGGAGCGCGAGCTGCTTATTGTCTTCCATCATGCTCAGGATTTTGGCCTGGGGGAGAGAGAGGTGACAAAGAGCTGCATGATGCGCGGGGAGCGCGCGGCCGGGCACCCCCGGCTCTACCTGTTGGGTTCCCCGCGGCTCAGCTCGCTCGCACCCCGACCCCCAGGCACCGGCAGCGCCGGGCTCCTCCGGCGCAGCAATGACAGCGGCGCCTCCAGCCCGGAGCCGCGGCGGTGGCGAGGCAGAGGGGGGAGGAGGAGAAAGAGGAGGAGGAGGAGGAGGAGGAGGAGGAGAAAGAGGAGGAGGAGGAGGAGGAGGAGGAGGAGGAGCAGAGATCGCCGAGACCCCGGCGGGCGGGCGCCGCGAGCTGCGCGCAGAGGACACCGCGCGCCGAGCACTCTTAAGCGGAGCCTACCATTCGCCGCCCACTCGGGAGGGAGCCTGGGTCGGGGCCCTGGGTCAACCTCGACCTCTCGCGCCCCGCGCCTAGCAGACATACTCCCCAGGGGTTGGGGGCGGCGGGCGGCGCCCCCGCGTGGGCCGAGGCGGCGCCCCTAGCCGGTGGTGGGGGTCGCGCGCGCCTTGGCCGTAGCTCTGTCCCCTCCTTGCCGCGGTGGGGCGGCCCCGCCCCGAGGACTTCTGCCCCGCGCAGTGCTGGGCTTGGGGTCGGTGGGTGCTGGGTATAGAGGGGTGCTCTCGGAGAGGGACCCCCGGAGGGAAGCAGGGATGAGGCACCGAGGGAGGGGCGGCTCGCGCGAGCTCAGGAGTGGAGTTATCGCTTTGCGAGTCGGTAAACTGCAGGCAGGAAATGCCCAGCGGGGAGAGGAGCTGATAGCCCGCGCGCCTCTCACCTCCATCCCCCCGCCCCCCGACCCCGACCCCGACCCCGACCAGAGCTCTCCCGGAAGGAGCTCTGTCCTACCCTGGCCTGGCCTTCCCGTGGCCCCCAGTCCTGGCCTGTGCAGCCCAGGTGCAGGGTGCAGCCTTAACCGGGTCCAAAGCTGGGCTAACTCTTGGCCAAGGGGAGAGGAGATCAGGAGAAATGACTGGAAGGTATCAGTGTGGCTTCCCTTTCTTTCCTATGCGAGTAGAAGTAGTAGAGAGGCCGCTGCCTCAGTTTACCCACTTCCTCTTCTGGGGAGAACTGAGGTAACTTTAGCGTTGCTAGGCCCCTCCTAGCTTCTCTTTCCCAGAGCACAGACTTTTCATTTTTTTCACTGGAGCCCTGGATACCAGCCACCAGACCTTGTTACCATAGCAAGCTTCATTCCATGCAAATAGGACAATTTAAAACAGCCAGCATAACCTCCTGGACAACAGCGTGCCCCCATTCCAGCTCAGTCAACCTGGGGAGAGTGGTTAAGGGCATTTGGCAGAAGCCAACAGGGTACTCAGGCGTAGGACTGGGGTGCTCACCCTCCATACTGAACAGCAGACTTTGAAAGCCCATGAGAACCAAGTCAGCAAATACAGGTCATGTGCTTTTGTACGCGTGGCTATCTCATGGACTAAGGATTGTTAGTCCAGCTTTGGAGATGAGGAAACAGGCTCTGGGGCAGGGTTAAACAATTTACCCAAGAAGCCCCGGAAATCAACTGGAGCCAGGTCTAGAAGTATCTGATTCCAGTTAGTCTCACTGGGCCTTCAGTAGATGTCGAACCCCAGATTGTGTTTCTGTCTTATGCGGAAACATAAACACTTCTGCCCTGTGCACCTGTAGCCACTGACAAGCTTTTGCAAGAGGGCAGGACTGTGTTTGATGGTGGAGGGTGGGGCAGCAGGCACAGTCTTTCAAGCTGTTCACCCTGCTCAACTAACTGGCCACTGTGGAACAACCCATGACCTTCGGCACATTAGCGCGAGTTCAGACCAACCAAGGCACTCATACTTGCTTGGTGTATTTGTAAAGCAGGGTTCAGTTCTTCAAAGCCTTTCAGTGACTTATGGAGGAGCATCTAACCACAGTACTTTGTGGGTCTTCCTAAGGAAGACTTTGTCTCTTTGTGAGACAGTTTGACAGTTCTTCAAAAAGTTAAACTTGGAATTGCTATATAACCCAGCAAATGCGTTCCTAGGTATATGTCCCAAAGACTTGAAAACAGATATCCAAAGAAAAACTTCATGAATTTCAGAAATCCATGGTTTTGGCAAATTGTCATAACTATGGACCCTAGAAAGGAGAGAGAGAAGGTGAGGGAGCACTGCCAACTAGTCTGCAACCCTGTCCTCCAACAGTCTGTATGCATCTCCCAGGAAGTGGTTGGTGAGTGCATATCAACACCCCAGACAGGCAAGTGGGCTTGCAAGAGGACACTAGGCAATCATTATTCCAATGTTCATAGCAGCACTATTCAAAGTAGCCAGATGGCAGAAGAACCCAAGTCCATCAAGATATGAATGGGTCCACAGAAGTGTTACATGCAAAATACGCAGAGCAGAATATTATTCAGCCATGGAAAGAACTGAAATACAGACACACACTATAATATGGATGGAACTCAAAAGCACACTAGGTGAAAGAAACCAGACAGTGAAGGTTACATAGTGTATGACTCCATTTATATGAAATACTCAGACTAAGTAAATCCATGGAGACAGAAAGCAGACACGTGTTTGGCAGAAGCTGGTGGAGGGAAGAATGGGAAGCTTAATAGGTTATTATTAATAGATCATTAACTGCTTAGTAATTTATTTTGGGGGGATGGAAATGTTTTGCAGCTAGGCAGAGGCCATGGTTGCACAACACTGTGAATGTACAGGTACTAAGTACCGTCAAATTGTCCATACTTAGGTAGGTAATTTTGTGTTATGTGAATTTCAACTCAGTAAAAAAGTCATCCCATATGGAAATTCAAAAAGGAGATGGAAGTGTCCTGGGAAACAATTAAAAACAACTCTAATTGGAGAGTACACACTTTGTGTGTGTGTGTGTGTGTGTGCTCACTCTCACCTCTGTTATGGACTCATCAGAAAGGACAGGGCTTATCTGTTCACATATCTCCCTTGCCTCCCTGTGAACTTCCGGGCATACAGGCAGGTCTTCCGGTCTTTTATGTCATTCCTCTTTGCTCCCTTGTCCTCTGGCTCATAGCAGGCACTCTATACATGACTGAGTGTGAGGGTGTGTGTGCTGTAAACACACTGACCAAGTGTTACTCAGTCTCCTCTTCAGTGAGATTCTTCCCACACACTCGAATCTTCAAATCAAATCAAAATAAACAAATCAAACAAGGAGAAAAGAAAGCAAAGAAAGACTCATTTCTTTTGCCCCTTCTTATCTCTCTCTCTCTTTGAGGTTTCATGAAACTTGCTTTAGATACTGCTGGGGTGCCTCCTAGGATTGTAGAGAATTCTACTTTTGAGATTTGTTTCCCTGAATATGGAAGAGGGGACTTTTCCCAGCTGTGTCTCCTTATATTCACTCCCACACAAAAGGCAGACCTTAGGAAGTCTGAGATCAATTCACTCTGTGAATTGACTTGATTTAAACCGAAATGGTGACTGCTATGCCTCTCTTACTCCTGACCTCAGACACAGCTCCTCCCTAGGTGACCTCGAGTAACAAAACAGTTGCAGGATTTGTGTCCTCTCCTGGTGGCCTGTCTGAGGGGCTGATGTGCACTTGCCAGCCATTTCTTGGGAGATGCAGATAAACTCTTGGAGGAGAAACTTCCATAGTTGTCTGCTATTTGCCCCTTCACCCACCTCTCTCTCTGTGCATAGCTATGAGAATTCAACAGAACTGTGGGTTCTATTTCAGGGTTCTCCCCTCTGCATATTCCGAAGGTAGCTCCCCACCACCCCAGTAAGCTGATGTTAAGAACCAGTGTGGTGTGAATGTGTCCCCCAGGGTTCATGTGCTGGAAACAACTTCAGAGTCATGTGTTGATCGTGTCTGGAGGTGGGACCTTTGAGAAATAGTGAGAACCAGGTGAGGTTGAATGGGTGGGGTCCTCCTGATGGTATTAGTGGCTTTATGAGAAGAGGAAGAGAGACATGGGGTAGGGCATCTGCTCTGTCTTGCCAGATGATGCCCTCTGCCATGTCACAGTGAAGGAAAAAGACCCTGACCAGAGGCTGGCACTTTGATATTGGACTTCCTAGCTTTCAGAACCATGAGAAATGCATTTCCATTTTTTAAAATAAATTATCTCATCTGTGATACTCTGTTATAGCAACAGAAAACACACTAAGTCAAGAATCAAGAAAGAAAATGTATCTACATCACAGGCATCTGCCACTACTGGCTCACTGTCACCTGTGGTCATTGCTCCTGACCAGCCAAACTCAGCTGAGGCTCAGGCATCACCCCATGCACAGTCACTGTCCTCCGCCAGTATTTGCTGAGTGTCTGGTCCTTCTTAGAAGCTGCCCACTGTGCTATGTACACTTGATGCCCAAAGCTTGCCTGGGCATTTTGGAAAGCGCAAGACCAAGCTTCTTCTACTGTAGAGAAAAGAAAATCCCAGTAAGTATCAAGGAAGATGCCTACCCCATTAGTTAACACAGACACATGCACCTTCCATCTCCCGTCAGTAGAAGGCCCTTATAATTTACCATCCAAACTGGAACACCTGAGAATGAGAGAAGATGCCGTGAATGATGAAGCCAAGAAAAGTGTTCCAAGTCAGAGCTGTGGCAAGAGCCTTGTCTATACTGTTGCCTGACATTCAACTGGATTATGCCATTTGGTCTTGGAAGGCAATGTGTGCCATCTACTTGTTGCACCTTCCCTGTTTACAGAGGAAAGGAGGTGTAATTTCAGAAATAGACCATGCAGTCATGTCAGTGATGGAGCTAGGAGGGATTAAAGCCACAGAGTGTAGAAAATGCCCCTTCTTTCTGCTGGTGAGCATCATACAACTCTTTCTAAATGATAAGTGTAGTAGCATGAGGCTGTGGCCTTGTGTAATCTGACCTCTGACTTGTTCATGTCCTATCTACCCCATAGCTCACTACTCCCTTGCCACCAAATTTTTTCCAAGTTTAGGGACGTTTTCTTTGCTTCTCTCTTGCCTCTGCCCAGTGTATCTTTCCCTGGCCCTCTG